GATGAGTATGGGGTGCACAACTGCTACCACTCATAGGATGAGTATGGGGTGCACAACTGCTACCACTCATAGGATGAGTATGGGGTGCACAACTGCTACCACTCATAGGATGAGTATGGGGTGCACAATACATTACCGCTCATAGGATGAGTATGGGGTGCACAACTGCTACCACTCATAGGATGAGTATGGTGTGCACAACTGCTACCACTCATAGGATGAGTATGGGGTGCACAACTGCTACCACTCATAGGATGAGTATGGGGTGCACAACTGCTACCACTCATAGGATGAGTATGGGGTGCACAACTGCTACCACTCATAGGATGAGTATGGGGTGCACAATGCATTACCGCTCATAGGATGAGTATGGGGTGCACAACTGCTACCACTCATAGGATGAGTATGGGGTGCACAACTGCTACCACTCATAGGATGAGTATGGGGTGCACAACTGCTACCACTCATAGGATGAGTATGGGGTGCACAACTGCTACCACTCATAGGATGAGTATGGGGTGCACAATAGTTACCACTCATAGGATGAGTATGGGGTGCACAACTGCTACCACTCATAGGATGAGTATGGGGTGCACAATAGTTACCACTCATAGGATGAGTATGGGGTGCACAACTGCTACCACTCATAGGATGAGTATGGGGTGCACAACTGCTACCACTCATAGGATGAGTATGGGGTGCACAATAGTTACCACTCATAGGATGAGTATGGGGTGCACAACTGCTACCACTCATAGGATGAGTATGGGGTGCACAATACATTACCACTCATAGGATGAGTATGGGGTGCACAACTGCTACCACTCATAGGATGAGTATGGGGTGCACAACTGCTACCACTCATAGGATGAGTATGGGGTGCACAACTGCTACCACTCATAGGATGAGTATGGGGTGCACAACTGCTACCACTCATAGGATGAGTATGGGGTGCACAACTGCTACCACTCATAGGATGAGTATGGGGTGCACAACTGCTACCACTCATAGGATGAGTATGGGGTGCACAACTGCTACCACTCATAGGATGAGTATGGGGTGCACAATAGTTACCACTCATAGGATGAGTATGGGGTGCACAACTGCTACCACTCATAGGATGAGTATGGGGTGCACAATAGTTACCACTCATAGGATGAGTATGGGGTGCACAACTGCTACCACTCATAGGATGAGTATGGGGTGCACAACTACTACCACTCATAGGATGAGTATGGGGTGCACAATAGTTACCACTCATAGGATGAGTATGGGGTGCACAACTGCTACCACTCATAGGATGAGTATGGGGTGCACAATAGTTACCACTCATAGGATGAGTATGGGGTGCACAATAGTTGCCACTCATAGGATGAGTATGGGGTGCACAATAGTTACCACTCATAGGATGAGTATGGGGTGCACAACTGCTACCACTCATAGGATGAGTATGGGGTGCACAATAGTTGCCACTCATAGGATGAGTATGGGGTGCACAATAGTTGCCACTCATAGGATGAGTATGGGGTGCACAATAGTTGCCACTCATAGGATGAGTATGGGGTGCACAACTGCTACCACTCATAGGATGAGTATGGGGTGCACAACTGCTACCACTCATAGGATGAGTATGGGGTGCACAATAGTTGCCACTCATAGGATGAGTATGGGGTGCACAATAGTTGCCACTCATAGGATGAGTATGGGGTGCACAATAGTTGCCACTCATAGGATGAGTATGGGGTGCACAATAGTTGCCACTCATAGGATGAGTATGGGGTGCACAATAGTTGCCACTCATAGGATGAGTATGGGGTGCACAATAGTTGCCACTCATAGGATAAGTATGGGGTGCACAATAGTTGCCACTCATAGAATGAGTATGGGGTGCACAATAGTTGCCACTCATAGGATGAGTATGGGGTGCACAATAGTTGCCACTCATAGAATGAGTATGGGGTGCACAATAGTTGCCACTCATAGAATGAGTATGGGGTGCACAATAGTTGCCACTCATAGAATGAGTATGGGGTGCACAATAGTTGCCACTCATAGAATGAGTATGGGGTGAGCGTTAAACTATATAGCCGCCATAATTTATTTTATTTTATTTATACAAGAGTTGTACAGCCACTAGCACGCATGGTTTTGGCAGATCCATAATCCTAATTTTCCCTGGAGTACGACCCGCCAAATCGTTTAACCCCATTTTACTTCTGTAAATTGTACAACCCCATTGTAGCTTCTGTTCACCCAACTGAACAGAATTAAGGGTGAACAGAATTCAATTAAGGATTGACGCCTAGTCAATCCTTCCCGGCGAGGATACGAACCCTGGCCAAAGTGCCCGTGTATTGCCGGGCGAGTGTTTTACCACTGCGCCACGGGGACCTCGCTCTCAGAAGCTACCATCAAGCACTTCTCATTGCGCATTTTAAATAGAATCAAACCGTTCGTAAAAAATATAATATATTTTTTTTAGATATATACAAGAGTTGTTACATTCTTGTACTATTATTTTTATTACTATTACTATTATTATAACTTAAATTATTATTATAACTTAAAGTATTATTATAACTTAAAGCCCCGAAATATTGACGTTTTCTATGCACCGGCCGTAGTAATTATGTGTTATTTGGTTCTGTTTACGGAAAAAATTTGCATTTTTACCGGACTGACGAAATGTGAGAACGGATAGTCCTGTCTAGGACCTGAGGATATTATGGCCCCTCTACGTCATCACCATTTGAACAAACCTAACCTAACCTAACTTAACCTAACCTAACTCAATCAAACTTATTCTTCCCAAATCAAATTGAAAATAACCTAACCTGACTGAAATAAGATACAAAAATGTGGTGTTTTATATATGATATCGAGATGAGTGACGTCAATATGACGTCACAGCTTCAATGCCGGGGGCAGGTTTTGGAGTGTGGTGGCGGAGGCCAGTGTAAACAACACGCCGTAATGACCACGGACCCTCGTCTGGTAAACTTATATATACCTTATATTCTGCTTATTACATGTATATAACAATATGTAGGAGATATAAACAATAAATATGTAATATTAAGGAATCAAAAAGACGTTAGAAGTCATTCAACTGTCCCAATGTAGCTTTATGTTGTTATAATAATAACAGGCCTCCTTGGCGCAGTGGTAAGACACTCGCCTGGTGTTTCGTGAGCGCTTTGGCCTGGGTTCGTATCCTGGCCGGGGAGGATTGACTGGGCGCCAATCCTTAATTGTAGCCTCTGTTCATAGCCTCGGGTCGTATTCTGGGGAAAATAAGGATTAAGGACCTGCCCAAAATGCTATGTGTGCTAGTGGCTGTACAATAATGAAACAATTCCTGTATGTATAAATAATTCATAATTCAATAATTCATTGTGTCGGGGGACAGGAAGCGAGAGTGTATCCATACACGTTAGGCTTATATTGAGGTCCCCCCCCACATGGTCGAATTACTGACCCCGCCCAGGATGTAAACCCACAACAAGCTAACTCCTGGGTACCTACTTACTGCTAGGGGAACAGAGGCATTAGGTGAAAGGAAATGTGCCCAACCATTTCTGTCCCACCCGGGATTCGAACCCAAAATTCTCGATGGTGCTTTGAGAACGAACCCGACTACTATCGGGACTCTTTATAGAATGGTCTATGGTTGGGTGAGATCTATGGTATTATGTACTCTGTACTATGTACTATCTCCTATGTGTAGATGTGTAGGGTACAGTACTATATGTAGGGTACAGTACTGAATGTAGGGTCTACGCCTCTACGGTACCATTTGTAGGGTACAGTAATGTATGTAGGGTCTGTGGTACTGTATGTAGAGTCTATGGTACTGTTTGTAGGGTACAGTAATGTATGTAGGGTCTGTGGTACTGTATGTAGCTATGGTACTGTTTGTAGGGTACAGTAATGTATGTAGGGTCTGTGGTACTGTATGTAGAGTCTATGGTACTGTTTGTAGGGTACAGTAATGTATGTAGGGTCTGTGGTACTGTATGTAGAGTCTATGGTACTGTTTGTAGGGTACAGTAATGTATGTAGGGTCTGCAGTATTGAATGTGGTGTACAGTACTGTATGTAGAGTCTATGGTACTGCATATAAAATACAGAACTGTATGTAGGCTATGTAAGGTGTGTAGTACCATATGTAGAGTGTATGGTACTGCTATCCTATGTGTAGCATTTGCTTCATAATTTGCATCACCATTAATTACAACTGTAGATAATTACACAGACAATTTTAAAATGCACTTAACTTTGTATATATACTCTGATGCACGGGTGCTTTCAAATCGTATACAGGTGCTTTTACAATGCTTGGTTTCTAATGTTATAAAAATGTACAGTATATTCTGTATAATGTTAGGTTAGGGTAATGGAGGGACCATTGACAAGTTGCTGGCTTCCTGTCCCCATTGAGGTCACTTGAGTTGGTGGCCGTCAGGTGAATTCAGGTATGCATTGGGGCCATTGGAGAAGGAGTTCCTCTGATAAATCTAGGTACCTATCAAGGCTACCATCTCTGGTGGCCCTTGGGTAAATTCAAGTTCGGTTAGGTTGGCTTAGGGTGGGTTGGTTTTAAAATTCTTTGGTAGAATGGTTTTGGAAAAGTTACTTATGCTCCCTAATACAACCCAACTTTACCTAATCTTACCTAACTTATAACTACCTAATCCAGCTTAACCAAATGATATTCATAGTTTTATTAATCAAAAAACAATCTCTGCTAAATACCTATGTACGAATCCACCGTACCTCAATGGGCACAGTGGTGACATTAGAGTTTAAAATAGGAATTTTATACTTTTAGTTTATGTGCTGTAATAGTTTTGCTTACATTTTGCTCATAAATTCAAAATAAATTTTGTAAAGTATTTGGTTTAGTTTGGTTTAGTTTAACTTTGGTTTAGAAAGTTGTGTATTAGAGAGGTCACTGGAGCTGTAACTGTTTACATAGATTTTTGTTTCATTTGTTTGCAGATGTGTGCATTGGTTTACTGAAAGATTGTAGGCAACGTGTTGCAGCAACATGCACCCTGATCTTTCTCCACATTTACACACAGATGAATGCAACGAACTTATATCTAAACTTCACGCCTGCCACAAAGAGGTATGCTTGTGCTTCACCTAAATTTTAAAATTCCTAACCACCAAACCTGTAGATGCTAAGACATTTCTTGAGTTTAATATTTCACTGGAAAAAATGCTCAGGAACAATGAGGGGGGGGGGGGGAGGACCTTTGACAAGCTGCCGGCTCCCTGTCTATGTTGAGGCCACTACAGATTGTGGACCATGATAAATTCAGGTAAATACAAAATAAACAAATGTTCTCACTAGCAAAAAATCTTTGCAGGGGTACATGTACTGTATATTATCCTAAACAGTGAAATATTTTTCCACACAGGGCTAAAGTTCACCCCCCCCCCTGCAAGCACAATTAGGTGAGTACAATGCAGGTGTTGGGTTGGGCTTTGCATGGTAATACACACTATACAATATATATTTTTTGTTTATTTCAGAACACGTTCTTGAAATTCGTTGGTATTTGCAATGACATAGACACAGCTGTGTGGAAGTGTTTGAAGGCAGAGGTAAGAACAGCTGCACCCTTGCAACTTGCTTGCTAGGGGAAGCTTAATAACATGCCAAGGTCATTCATTTCTTCAACTTTTATTTCAAGTCAGTATTTCCTTGGTATCGTATCTTGGTTCATTTTCTTTAGAGCCTGGATATTATTCATATAAGTAGTAAGTTCAACCCAAATATCTTTAACAAAAAAAGAAGTGACATTATTTTGGTCCAGCAGTGCTGGTTCGATTATGTCATACTGCCTCAATATTTATTAATAATTTCATCATGTTATTGTGATTTTCAATGTGGTCACCTACCAGTCTGGAGCCTGACTGCTGGATGGACAACGCTTCGGATTCGTAGTCCTGAGGTTCCGGGTTCGATCCTCGGTGGAGGCGGAGACAAATGGGCAAAATGTTTCTTTCACCCTGATGCTCCTGTTACCTATCAGTAAATAGGTACCTGGGAGTTAGACAGCTGCTACGGGCTGCTTCTTGGGGGGTGTGTAACAAAAAGGAGGCCTGGTCAGGGACCGGGATGCGGGGACACTAAGCCCTAAAATCATCTCAAGATAACCAAGATAACCAGTATTTATGGTTTACATTACAGAGCTTAAGCTTGCTGTATCTCATTACTCTTTGCTTATTTATTGTATTTATTCTGAGATTTGTATGTTTTTTGTGTATGGGTATGCACCTAAGTGTGGTTCTCTAATTGTATATTTGGGGAGCGAGTTTCAACTACTGTACTATGTACCACTGTTTAACTACTAATCAACCAGGGTCATGTCTCCCATGGGTACTGTATACTGTATGTCATGATCAAGTTCCTACTGTCTTGTTGATTTTTGTGATATTTAGTTCTTTCAGCCTATCCTTTTTGTATATCTTGAGATGATTTCGAGGCTTAGTGTCCCCGCAGCCCGGTCCTCAACCAGGCCTCCTTTTTTATTACACCCCCAAGAAGCAGCCCATAACAGCTGTCTAACTCCTAGGTATCTATTTACTGCTAGGTAACAGGAGCATCAGGGTGAAAGAAACTCTGCCCATTTATTTCCACCTCCACCGGGGATCGAACCCGGAACCTCAGGACTATGAATCCGAAGCGCTGTCCACTCAGCTGTCCGGCCCCTATAAGTCCTTTTGCTGGCAAAATGATGGCAAATATCTGGACCTTCTTAAATTTTAATACATAAGTGTATAGAGTTTGTAAATGGGATTTTAGAATCACTAGTGTAGAGGAATGAACTCTTATAACACTGCCATCCATGAAGAGCCACATATCTATGGATCATCTTCAAGTGTGCATTCTACCCCGGAATTGTATACTGTATATTTTGGTTTGTGATATTTACAAAGCCAAACAACACCAGACCACCGGAGCTAAATGTGTGTGATTGTTATTGAAAGACTTTTGTTATCACGCAAAAAGTTGAGTATGGATTTGAAGAAAAATATTTGTCCAGCCCATTTTTAATGTTAGTACAGTATTACTCTTAATTATTTATCCTTGTTGGCTATTCTACATAAATGCCATACAATTATAATTAAGTATTTAACCTCATTGGACCAAAATATTTTGCCTATACAGGATCTCAACTATTGTTACAAAGCGTGTCATGTTTGATTGGGCAATATTAAATATTTTTCTGAATCAAGATTGCAATGCTTTTTGATCATTTGAACAACTTTCATGATGGCGATCTCCAACGGTGGTACATTGTGAGTGTCTTGTGTAGACATTGGTGTGTACCAGTGGTTCACACAAGTGTTACGTTCCGATTGCAATCTATATGATAATTTTATATTTTTCTCCTTCCAAGACAGAATCAATTATGTGACTGGGTACCATTCTTCACTCTTTCCTCATATACTGTACCTTGGCAATGCTGTAGTCGTACTGGCTTAGTGCTTTTGCTTTATAATTACCTTACCTCTTTTTCTAAACAGGTTTCATAACCTTTACTTCTTAAGTCGATGTTTCATCTATTTTAATCAGCACTCAACCCTTCCAATGTTTCTTCTGCCATTGTGGCCAAAACTGTACACAAAATTCTGTGATTGGAGGCACAAATGTAAGGTTTGAGGATGTCTCCTTTGAATAAGACTTTGGTACCTAGTAGATCTGTTGTTTGGCTTGAAATTGTTAATATCTTATTACTCTAGTCTTTTTAATTATTGGGGATTCCTATGTAGAGATATCTTATCATTTAGTCATAATTTTATTTACCCATTAATTTTTTCTTTAATTTTATTGAGGTTTATTTTGAGTATCTCAATGCCTTTAAAATCTGTATAATGCACAGTATAGTATTGAGGTGTTGATATTAAATACTATACTGTACTAATATTTGACAAAATATTTAATTAATTAAAACTTTGATTTATGACTTTAATGTCTATTTTTATTTTATCAGCGCTTACAGAGGCGTGCAAGCAACAAAGCAGCAGGGGAAGAGATGCGGAAGAAGGTATTTGCCAAGCTTGATGAAGGATTTTCCTGGAAGAATATGTAAATTGTAGCCTTTAAGTATTCTTATTCAACAACACACTTGAACACATCTGTATTAAGTGGTGTTACAATTCGTAATTCTCTGGATATTGATGTTCTTCAGCTTATTTTGAAATCAAACATTAACGTGTAACCATGGGAAGTTTTGTAGAAGGTAGCATTGAGGAGACAGTCATGCTGGATCTTAAATATCCAAGTGTGAGTGAGAGATATTTTACAAAATATTACTTCATACCAAAGGAAAGGAAGAGAATAGAAAACTGCAACATTTTGATTAATGATGAAGACCAAGATTCATCTGCAGAGAACAGTAACAATGAGACTGATAGTAATGTTATCATTGAAGAAAAAGGGCTCCATCGTCATCAATCTGGTTCGTTGAAACTCGGTGAGGAGCAAGTTTCATCAAGCCCAGATAGCAGTGGACATACATGTGTTATGGTACATACCAATAAGCTGTGCCTTATAACTCTTTCACATCATCACCCTGTGTTGGCTGAGAAAAAGGAGATCACTGAGGTATGTTATAATTTGTATTTTATCCTTTACCGGGAAACTAGCAATAATATTTATTTTTATATACTGTACTGTAGATGGATACAAGTCACATCGTATACGAGACAGTTTGCCAACAGATATTAAAATCTACTTAACCCAACCCAACCGAATCTAACCTAAGCTAACACTTCCTATCCTAACCCTATACAGTATACAGTTTTGACAATCAGAAAAAGAGCTTTGTTGAATTGTCTTGTGTATAATTTGACCATACTCCACTGTTGATATACAGTACAGGTATTATGTTGAATTATTTTGATTCTTACAACATAGATAAGTAATAATTATTCTGGTACATTTCAAATTTCACTGTGTAACTCGCTTATTTTAGAAAAACTCATTATAATTATTTAATGTCTAAATAGGTAACTTTCCTCATTCAAATATGTGATCTTATTGCCTGATATTGTATTTATTCTTTGACTTATTGTGCGTGTTGTAGTACAGTACTTTCTCCATAGTTCCTTTGTGAAGCATTAAATTTTAAGTAGATTCATTACTTCAAGTAATGTCCACTTCCTTAATGCCACTTCTAAGTGTATTCATTCACAATTCATACTTTGAAAAGGATATAAGAAAAGTTACATTAAAAAATAATAATAAATTTTGTGGTATTTTCGACAGTTTTATTCCCTTCACATGACAGGGAAGCTTGTGAGGAAGTGGTAGATTAACATTGGCTGCAGTAATTGCTCTTTCCAACTGCTCCACTCTGGTTTTTTGCCTGTGTTCTGTTTGGTCAGTCTCTTATTTGAGTGTGTAATCATGCAAGGGACTCTTGGCCCCCTGGTAGTGATGCTGTGACCTGTACGAGAACTGATTCCCATTCTTGGATCATCAAGAGCAAGGGGGGGGGGACACAGCATGTAGATTTCCTTGGGACTATTCTGTGTAGTCTTGTCAGCCCTTTCAGAGTAAGTTCCAGTGAGGAGGGTCTGGTAGGGGGTAGTCATCTTGGAAATTTTTGGTGGGAGTGGACTCGGGATGCCTGGGCCTTTCAGATTGTTACTCATGTTCTAATTTAAACTTGGTCTTCTGATGCGTGTCTGGTTTGGTTTCTGCCCAAAGAATGTTTATTTATCCCTTATTGGAGTTAATTTTATATACAATTACATGTTATTACCTAAGTGTAGTTACAGGATAAGAGCTATGCTCATGGTCTGACTATGTAACTTGGTATATTTTCACCTCTACAAGGCTTTGGGTTCTTCCAAGTGCATAGACTTGAAACTTGGCACAAAATTTTCTTGTCAGGAGAAGACAGTTGAACTAAGATTTTGATTCAGAACTTCAGAAGCTAAGATTACTGTTACGATGAATATTAAATTTGTTTCTGTTGTCAAATTAATTGATCTTATTTGGGGTCATGACCCAAAGCTTAGTACCAAAGTGGTAGTGATTGTTGAATTACGAATGACAACATTTCTAGAAATGCATGCATCCCAGCTATGTGGGTTTGAAAAATGCAAAAGGGCTGTATTCCCTATAACTCAGCACTAAGGTTCTTTATAAGGAAGGAAACGTGAAACTTTGAGGTTCAGTAGGTCGCTCTCGTCAGAGAATTAGTATTGCCTGGTACTATAATGTCCTTATTTATTCTTGTATGCATAATATAGAACAGGAAACATTTAACCAGACAGTATAACATTATAATTAAACTTGACTTTCCCTTTTTAGTTCAGAAAAATATAAAGTTTGTTGTATTTTTAGCTATTAAAACTTAATAAATAATAAGTAGTCTGATGTAGTTTGACCAGTGGAAGAAAATAATGTTGTTATTTTGTTTATTAGACAAAAAGTCACATTTATCTTTATAAACCCCAGGTAAAAACATAAGGAAATGACAACAAAAGAAACATCTGGTTTATATTATGATTCTGATTAAGTGATAATAAATATTATGCGTCACTCAATTCTAACAGTCTTATTTTATTTGTAGGTGAGTTACAGTGTTGGCAAATTTAACAGATTAGAAAACCAAGTGTCGGGTAAGGGTAAACGAGGTGCTCAGCTAATGGGCCTTCAGTCATCTGTGTGTATCATCACGTGTTCTGATGGGACCAGGTATAACATCTTGGCTGGAGTTCAAGGCAAACTTGTTGAGGTGAGCTCTGCTATTCTGTAACTCTGTGACTTCATCCCACCCTGTCATCATGTTTTCAATGAAATCAACCAATTCGTTAATAATTTGAAGTCAAGATTTAAGGGGATTCTATATTTGAAGTCCACATTTGAGGTGATTTACATTTGAGGTCTGGATTTAAAGGGGATCCTCTGTCAGTAGAACCATTCTGGCTCTTATGTTTGATGATTACTTAAGCATGATTTTAATTTTTTCCGTTTTGCTATATTTGCAGGTGAATGAGCGATTATTGACACAGCCCCAACTTGTGAGTAGCCATCCGAATGCTGAAGGCTACTTGGCTGTGATACTGCCCCCACTGAGGAATGGAGACTTCATGCGTAGTAAACTGCTCACTGAGGACCAATATGAACAACTAAATGTACAACATTTGAAAGATAAAGTGAACTAAGAGTGAAAAAATAAATAATTTCATCATTTAAGTTATTGGAAATGTAAACGAAATTATAACTTTTATCATGATTGCCATATATTTCACTAAATTACTTGTACAGTATACAGTATGTATAAAAGAAATAGGGTCGAGTTGTAAGTTACACTTGAAAAATAAAATTTGCTAAGCTCATTTTTTGTCTTTTTCTAGTTCTGGATTATTCCTTATAGGAATGTGAATATTTATTTTCCTGTTTTATTTCTGCATTAGTACACTGCTAGCCATTATATGCAGAATACTGTACTTAATTGATCTCTTCAGATATGAAATACTTATATTTTTTTTTTTTTTTTTTTTTTTTTTTTTTTTTTTTTGAGATATATACAAGAGTTGTTACATTCTTGTACAGCCACTAGTACGCGTAGCGTTTCGGGCAGGTCCCTGGAATACGATCCCCTGCCGCGAAGAATCGTTTTTTCATCCAAGTACACATTTTACTGTTGCGTTAAACAGAGGCTACAGTTAAGGAATTGCGCCCAGTAAATCCTCCCCGGCCAGGATACGAACCCATGACATAGCGCTCGCGGAACGCCAGGCGAGTGTCTTACCACTACACCACGGAGACTGTATATTTATATAAGAATTTGATTATTCATGTATACAAATTGGATTTGTCTCGTCTAGTGATGCCACATTTCTCTGTGCCCACAATAGTATAAGTATGAGGAGAAAGTGCCAAGTCAGTATGCTGACATAGCACCTGGTAGGGATATGATGACAAGGAGTTGGAATATGAGGATGGAGTGAAGGAATGGTGTTCAACCACTTGGACCATTGGGGATTGAACCCCAACCCTGCAAGAAGTGAAGGTGTTACTGTAGACACCTGCAGAGAGTGACAGGTAAAGGTGGGTTGCATCCTGGGACAGATCGATCGGTTGTTGTTCTAGAGGGACATTAACGCTAATACAGTCTTCCTGCCCTCGACTACATGAGAAGCTATAAAAGAGAATTAATCAAACTAGTTGCCGTGAGAAGGATATTAGCTCTTGTGCTATACTTTTGAAATCAATCATATATAATAGGGTAACAGCAAACTGCTGTGTACCATAGGCATGTTAATAAAGCAAAATGAGAGAAAGGTGATTTCAAAATGTCACATGTGATGCAAACAAGAAACAATGGTTTCAAGCTCAACAAGCCACAATGTAGGACAGAAAACAAGAGAAACAGTCCCCGTGGCGCAGTGGTAAGATGCTCGCCTGGCGCTTCGCAAGCGCTTTGGTCTGGGTTCGTGTCCTGACCGGACACCAATCCTTAAGAACAAATCCACAAGGGCCATGATTTCTGTGTGTACCAATCCTTAACTGTAGCCTCTGTTCACCCAGCAGTAAATGGGTACCTGGTTGTTAAATAAATGATATGGCGGGTCGCATTCCCAGGAAAAATTAGGATTAAGGGGCCGCCCACGGGATGGGTATGGGGTGCATAATAAAGAATAATAAAATAAAGGACCTGCCCAAAATTCAATGAGTGCTGGTGGCTGTATAAGAATGTAAGGACGCTTGAATAAAAAGAAAAAAAAATTACCCACTGGGTTATAAACCCATGGAACCGCCTACCCGCCGAAGCCGTAAATGCCAAACTGTTGAATTTTAAAATCGAGCTGGAAAAAATCAGAGCAAATGAAAGGAACCTTTGACAAATCGCCGGCTACCTGTCCCCGTCGAGGTCACTAAGTGTTAGTGTCAAGTGTATACAGTGAACGTACATAGTGGAGGTGGTAGACTGTATGGATATAACAGAACCCAAATTAGGCTCGAAAGGAACCTGTTTGAAAAAAAAACCTGAAAGGCGGGACCAAAGAGCCGAAGCTCAATCTCTGAAAGTACAATTAGGTGAATACCTAACTTTGTTAATAATAAAAAAAGTAGTACTCACCTAATTGTGCTTGATATATAATTGTTCATAAGATATAAGGATATAAAGGAGATATAAAGTGTTCATAATGTGTAATTATATCAATGTATAGTACATACGTATGTAATCACCATTAAGGATTAAATAATGTAATCAAATTCTCAGTATTTTGTAATAATGAAATATTATTAATTACTAGCCGTGAGTTAATATAAAGGAGCCAGCTGAGAGGCAGGTGATGACGTCACGGCTGTAAACACGCAGAGCCTTATCTCAAGTGAGACAAACATTATTTTCTTTGCCGGTCCATAGAATTACCCAAATCGACCCAAATCAGCCCAAAACTACCCAAATCGTCTTAGCATTACGTAAGTAATGAAGAAATATGGTATATTTACTTACTATAATGTTGGTGCTACACATAGAACATGATCAAACCTATTTTTACTCTGAAATAATCTAATTTCATAACGAAATTAGACGTAAATATGTGAGAGGTGACGCCATAGGAAGTCGACGGTCCAAGCGACAATTGTGTGGAGCGACTTATCCAAGATATATGGTCGCCAGGAGAGTGTTTGCTGCCATATCAGCCTCCTGTACACAGTGATCCAGTCCTTTTCGTTCATTGAACACCGAACCCTACACGCCCTCTGATATATTGCTTAATTAAGAAATATTCACAAATAAAGATTATATTTGTATATGTTATCAGAAAGGCAGATATAAAATAGTTTTTGTGAATCCATCACAGAGATTATACCTTATTAGAGAGGAAAAATATTCATACTTTAAACAAGGCTTCATGGCCGACGCTCTCCTTACCGATATGGGAACTATGACCTTCCGAAGATCAATGTTAATTTAATCTAGATATTGTAATAAACGAAGTTTTCTATGTCATCATAAAGACATAAATATAAGCTGCATGTTAATAATTTGGCATAAATATAACTGAATTGAAAGTTAAGATATATGCCTTTTTATAGTTACTTGATGGCTCGCTCAGGGAGTGTGAAGGCCTCCACACAAGCCAATCAATTTTATAATTACTTTGCATATATGCAAAGTAACGCCATAGGTCTTTATGTCAGAATAAAGCCATGTAGACGATAATGTAACTACATTTCAAGGAAAACATGTCTTAATATAATTATTAAATGAATGCAAAGTTATGGTTAAATAAATAGCCAATACCACACAATCGCCGGTGTTCGGACACATGAATAGTCGCATTAGGTGAAAGGAAATGTACCCAACCATTTCCATTTACCCAACCAGTTTGTGCACCCTATACTCATCCTCTGTGCGGTAATTTATTGTGCACCACATACTCATCTTGTTACCAGTAGTTTGTGCAACCCATACTCATCCTGTGACCCGTAATTTATTGTGCATCCCATACTCATCCTGTTACCGGTAGTTTGTGCAGCCCATACCCATCCTGTGACCTGTAATTTATTGTGCAACCCATACTTATCCTGTGACCTGTAGTTTATTGTGCAGCTAATACTCATTCTGTGAGTCATAGGACATTGCGCAACCCTTTCTCATCGTGTGAATCTTTGTTTACTTTGCTCTCCATATTCATCCTCTGCGCGATAGTTTCTTGTGCAACCCATACCCATGATGTGAGTGGTAGTTTATTGTGTACCCTATATTCATCCTGTGAGTATAGGGTACACAATTCTTGTTTGGATTCTTGTAATGTTATTTGTCTATTTGTAGTCACAGTATTTGTGCACCCCTTGAGGGACTTGAATTAGAGGGGGGTTGAAATAGCCTAAGCTACTCTATCCCTTTGAGATGTATTTATTGCTTATCTCAATAAACACACTTGAACTTGAACTTGGGTACACAATGAGTTCATTTGTACTCCATACTCATCATCAAGAAGTGTATTTTACCAGCATTGTAATATAAATTAAGAATAAAAGCTTAGCTGGATTACGGACCCATAATCAAAATAAGAGTCATCACTAATTATCATGACAAATAGTCTAGGCTACACTTCCGCCTTCGACAAGCTGCCGCCGGATGTGGGTATAGTTTATTGTACACCCCCGCACCCCCAGTCCTGGAAGGGCGGGCATTGGGATGTGGACATGTGTACCATTATACCCCCCCCCCCCCCCACACACACACACACTCCTCTCCTGTTAATAATAATACTAATAATAATAAAAATTCAAAATAATAACGTTAATAAATATTATAATTAAAACACTTACTGTAATACCCTAGTGCTTGAATGAAAGTGAAGGAAAGACCCAATAAATGTGTAAGTGTATTAAAAACCAAATTTTCGTTGGGTGAGCTGGCAGGTGAGCACCACCTGCCAGCTCACCCAGTAATGAACATCACCTGCCAGCTCACCCAGTAATGAACATCACCTGCCAGCTCACCCAGTAATGAACATCACCTGCACACTGCACCGAACCACTTGCCAGCAGGTGCAGAAGTACGATGGAAAGAGCAAAGTATACAATATTTCAAGTATAATATTAAAGATATATTTAGCATTTAATGTTTTCCTATAAAGTTTCAATAATACCTTTATTTGATTTTTTGTATTATTTTCTACCACAGACGTGGCCACACATTAACAATGCTAACCAGCATATATACATTTTCTTCAGTCCGCCATGGACTCTAACCCTTTCCACTACCGCCCACAAGATGGGTATAGGGTGCATAATATAAGAACTAAACTAACTAACTCCATTGATAGGGTTAGAGATTTGTTAAACATATAGGTCAGGGATTTATTGAACAATTAACCACATAAGGTGATTGTAGTGTTTTTAAAATGCTAGGCTAAGCTACATACGTAAATACATAAATACACAGATTTACGTATGCCCTACATAAAGTGTTCGATGTGTCTTTTACATAGTGTCATTAACGTGCATTTACAAAGGTGAAATTGAATTCTGACCAGCTTCCACATATACTTTATACACATACATATACACACACAGACGTATGCGTACATATACATATATATATACATACATATATACACACATACATACACATATATTTGTCTCTTTTACTCTGACAAGGTGAGATAACTGATAGAGAAACTAGTGTGCAATTAAGCACTTAATCACTGAAGGTGATTAAGGTGCTTTCACAAGCTCAGGTTATAGAGTTACATCACATACATTCATTGTATAATTGATACGTTACATGGTCAATCTAGGGTACAAGTTCAATATATCATCAAGTGTTCCAGTACTCAAATAGTAATTACACAGTTCAGCATACCTT